TCAAAGTGCTGAAAGAAAAAAATTGCCAACCAAGAATACTCTGGCAGGCAAAGTGGTCCTTCATAATTGAAGGAGAGATAGAGTTTCCAGATCAGATAAGCAAAAGCTGAAGGAGTTCATCACACTAGAGTGGCCTTACAAGAAATGTTAAAGGGACTTCTTCAAGTTGAAATGAAAGGACACTAATTAGTAACAGGAAAACATATGAAAGTATAAATCTCACTGGTAAAAGTAAATATATTGTTAAATTCGTAATACTCGAATGTTGTAATGGTGGTGAGTAAATCACTTATAAATCTAGTGTGAATGTTAAAATATAAAAGTATAAAAAATAACTATAACAACAATAATTTGTTAATGGATACACAAGGTAAAAAGAAGTAAATTGTGACATCAAAAACATAAAGTGTGGGGGCCGGACTGGTGGCATAGTGGTTAAGTTCGCATGCTCCCCTTCGGCAGCCCAGGGTTTCACAAGTTCGGATCCTGGGCACAGACCTATGCACCGCTTATGAAGCCATGCTGTGGCAGGTGTCCCACATATAAAGTAGAGGAAGATGGGCATGGATGTTAGACCAGGGCCAATCTTCCTCAGCAAAAAGAGGAGGATTGGCAACAGATGTTAGCTCAGGGCTAATCTTCCTCACCAAAAATAAAAAATAAAAAAAATAAAGTGTGGGGGAGGGATAAAAATGTAGAGCTTTAGTATGTGTTCAAAGTGGTTATCAGCTTAAAATAGACTGTTATAAATATAAGATGTTTTATGTAAGCCTCACAGTAACCACAAAGCAAAAACCTATCATAGATACACAGAAGATAAAGAGAAGAAAATCTAAGCATACCACTACAGAAAATCATTAAATCACAAAGGAAGAAAGCAAGAGAGGAGAAAAAGAACAAAGGAATTACACAACAGCCAGAAAACAATTAACAAAATGGCAATAGTAAGTCCATATCTATCAATAATTAATTTAAATGTAAGTGGACTAAATTCTCCAATCAAAAGACAGAGAATGGCTGAATGGATAAAAAACAAGACCCATCTATATGCTGTCTACAAGGTACTCACTTCAGCTTTAAGGGTACACACAAACTGAAAAAAAACAAGTGAAAAAAATGAAACTGGACCACTATATTACACCATATACAAAAATCAACTAAAAGTGGATTAAGGACTTGAACATAGACTTGAAACAATAAAATTCCTAGAAGGAAACATAGGGGTTAATATCCTTGACATCAGTCTTGACGATGACTTTTTGGATTTGATGCCAAAAGCCCAGACAACAAAAACAAAAATCAACAAGCGAGACTACATCAAGCTAAAAAGCTTCTGCACAGCAAAGGAGACCATAACAAAATGAAAAAGCAACCTACCAAATGGGAAAAATATTTACAAATCATGTACCTGATTAAGGGGTTAATATCCAAAATATGTAAAGAACTCATACAACTCAATACCAAAAAGTAAACAATCTGATTAAAAATAAACTGGATAGACAATTTTCCAAAGAAGTCATACAGATGGCCAACAAGTAAATGAAAAGGTGCTCAACATCACTAATCATCAGGAAAATACAAATCAAAACCACAATGAGATATCATCTCACATCTGTTAGAATGACTCTCATCAAAAAGACAAGAGATATCAAGTGTTGGTGAAGACGTGGAGAAAAGGGAACCCTGTGCACTGTTGGTGGGAATGTAAACTGGTACAGCCACTGCAGAAAACAGTATGCAGGTTCATCAAAAAATTACAACTAGAACTGCCATATGATCCAACAATTCCACATCTGAGTATATAACCAATATAAATGAAAACAGGATATTGAAGAGACAGCTGCACTCCTATGTTCATGGCAGCATTATTCACAATAGCCAGGATACAGAAACAACCTAAATGTCTGTCAAGAAATAAATGGATAAGGAAGATGTAGTATATACATATACAATGAAATATTATTCAGCCATGAGGAAAAAGGAAATTCCGCCATTTGCGACAACATGGATGGATCTTAAGGGCATTATACTAAGTGAAACAAGCCAAGTAAAGAAAGATAAATACTGGATGGTACCACTCTTATGTGGAATCTAAAAACAAGTACAACTCATAGAAACAGAGTAGAAAAGTTGTTGCCAGGGGCTGGGGGACGGGGTAAATAGAGAGAAGTTGGTAAAAAGGTACAAACTTGCAGTTATAAGATGAATAAAGTCTGAGGATCTAATGTGAAACATAGTGACTATAGTTGATAACACTGTATTGTATAATTGAAATTTGTTAAGAGAGTAGAACTTAAAGGTTCTCACTAAAAAAAGATAAATGTGTGAGGTGATGGATGCGTTAATTACCTAGATAGAAGGAATCCTTTCACAGTGGATACATATATCAAATCACCACTATGTACGCTTTAAGTATCTTATAATTTTATTTGTCAGTTATACCTCAATAAAGCTGGAATTTTAAAAACTGAAGTCAATTCACAATTTCTATTCTATTAATAATCATTCTGAGGCTTGTCCCAAGCAGGTTTTTGTATCATATAGCTAACTCCAGGTACTTCTAGAACTGGCTTTCTTGCTAATCTTCTTACTAATGATGCCTTCTATGACCTCTTTTTAAAATTACCACTATTATTATTCTCAAACTATTACCACATAAATGTAATATTATCTATATTAGATTTTCAATGCGGGCCATTTTTTTAAATAACAGATGACATTTGGATATATTAAAGCTTTTCAAAACGTGACTTGGTCAATTTTTCTGAAAACTTGACAGTCATCTTCAAGGTTTTTCCAGAAGGCTTTTTTCTTCCCTCATTTTCATCTTTTTACAGTCAATGACTATTTTTATGCTGCTTGGTCAGACAAGGAGGCTTTTGATTTACAACAGCTGTGTTCCAACAGTACACACACACACACACACACACACACACACACATATACACACAAATATATAATTTCATTCTTTTTTTAAAAACCACCGAGCAACAAGATATAGTTTGGCCCCAAGGATTTTAGAATCATTCAAGTCTTTTAGACTAGCATAATCAAATTATAGAGAGGTTTTGCTACACATCTCATTATCATAAACGTGTTTAGTTCTGGGTTTAACAATGAGATGGCTAAGCAAGGACATAATATTTTTCTTTTCTTGATTTCTGTCTCCATTTTATTCCTAAATTTGGAAGATTGTTGCCATGAATTCTTCACCCACTGGTAATGTATTTGAACATAATCCCAGTTGTTTCAAATACCCTTCAAATTTTTATAATTAGAAAAATGTCGTGGTGGGAATCTATTGATAAGTATGAAAGATAGCTACTTGAGTTCAGCAATACTCAAACTAATATCATCAAGTCTTCATGAGGGAAAATATATGCTTCAGGGACAATAAAACTTAGCAATTAGGAGTTGGTTCTTAGGGCTATGGCCATTAGTTGTTTGTTTGTTTCTCTTCTCCCAAAATATTTTTTAAAAAGGCAATAACAAATATAAAGATAAAACCTATAACCACATTACATTTAGATTCCAATATTTGCTTATCATGGATCTGCTTCACATGAGAATGCTAAGGTAGGTAAGCGCTCAGTAAAACTCGTAATTCCAAAAATAGTCGGGAGTTTTTATTTGCCAGTTGGACTGACCCTGAAAATCTAAATATGCCTGTTAATCCCCATGCTTCCATGTAACCCAATCTCCACCACCTAAATGGATGCCCTCTAGTTTGGATCACAACATTGCTGGCTTCTTATTCAAAAGGCCACATGTTTATATGTTAATATATGCAAATACATGAACTAGTCTCTAAGGCCAGACAAATGTTCACTTGGCCTATAACAGATTGGTGAACTTTGAAGTGCAAGTATGAAACTCCACATTTATTTGGTTTAATGAAAAACACCCCATGCTTCATAGGTAATAATTCATATCATCTATTAAAAGGAACCAAATGAGACAATCTCTGTCTAAATCCATTACTCATTTGATCTATAAGCCCAGAAAAAAGATTTAACTTCCTCTTGCCTTGGTTCATTTATGTTAGCTCCTGAATGGATATGGTGGGGCATGGAGGAGGTCATTTTCTAGTCTTGTTTCCATAACAACTAGTCTTCTCCCTGAACAACAAGAGCCAACAGTCAAGTTTTACAGGAACATCAGTTCTGAGAGAATCAACTGAAGGACCAAGCGTCACTTCAGCCACCATGTCTTTCTACAAGCTCCTCTCAGGGATGAGAACCTAATTTATTTTTCTATCCTATTACCTTTCTCATAAAATATTAAGAATAGATGGTTGAGCAAATAATTGGCATTCAGTAAAGAAGCCTACTATTACCTCTTTAGTCCATAAATGCCTTAAAAGAAAATATTTTTAAGGTGGAAATGTTTATTAATAATTAAGGTGTTTTGAACAAAAGTCTTCAATATTTTTTTTTAATTTTATTTATTTATTTTTCCCCCCAAAGCCCCAGTAGATAGTTGTATGTCACAGTTGCACATCCTTCTAGTTGCTGTATGTGGGACACGGCCTCAGCATGGCAGGAGAAGCGGCGCGTCGGTGTGCGCCTGGGATCCAAACCCGGGCCACCAGCAGCGGAGCGCGCGCACTTAACCGCTAAGCCACGGGGCCGGCCCCAAAAGTCCTCAATATTAAAATTTGTAGAGCACAGATCATTTAGTGTTAAAAATTCCTGACACTGTGAACCTAGAATATTAAACGCATTCATTATGTAGTGTCCCCAGATGTTTTGGAGAATGAGTTAAAAATAAATGACATCAGGTTAAAGACCTTAATCTTTTAGATTTTGATTTTAAAACATCATTTCCTAATTTCCAGGAGAATTACAGTGTGTTGATACTGAAAATGATCAAATTCTGATGTACCCTTGAAACCAATTAGATAACAAGCTGTTGTTTCCCACTCTTTCTCCCATGACATCACAACCAGTTCATGAATATTTATTGACTTTAAAATAAAAGTCGAGCTTTAGCGTGCTTACCTGGCACCCTCTTCGCCCAGTTGATCATGTGAACCAGCTCCCTGTCTGCAAGGTTGGTCAGCAGACCCATCATGGAAGCCTCGCTGAAGGGTCTGCTAGCATCGTAGTCGGAATAGATGAGAGGAGGCTCAGCATCCAGCAAGGCACTGACCATTTGCTCGGCTGTCAGGGACAAGGCTGGGCTGTTCTTCTTAGTGTGCTTAATCAAGAGAGGGTTTGGCCAAAAGTTGGAAGCCCTCAAGTCTCCAGAGGGCCCTGCTTCATTCCTGCCCTCCCCATCGTCTCTCTGGCGCTTGTGTTTCAACATTCTCCCTCCTCTCCGATCTTTCCGTATCCCTGAGAATACAGGAAAAAAAACAGTTTATTTTTTTTCTCACATAAACTTCCATACTAAACCATCTTCAGTGCTGATAGCCTTTATTTTATTTAAAGAAATACTTTGGCGTGCAAGTGTGCTGTGTAAGTGTTTAACAACCAGCTGTCCAAGGCAAAAAATAAAGGCTTTGATTTGTAGCATTCACCAATTTCCATGGTGTAAATACTCCCACCACGGCAAATTTCAAGCTACTTGTCGAACATCAATCGGCCTATAAAACTCCTGAAAATTTTAACAATAGGCTTTTGTGAACCAGTACAAGCTGGGTCTGACAAACCATTTGTGTGCGTCTGTGTGTGTGTGTGTGTGTGTATGTAAGAGATGCTATAAAAAGAACAGAAGTATAAAAATTAGTCATTCTTGAAATATGGCTTAGCATCAAAGATTGCTTCTGCTCTGAATATTCTTTTAATAGTAAATTTAAAAAGCATCTTAAAAAAGCATTTAGTGAACATCCTTATCATCCAAGTAGACCTCTTAATGGAAGACACTGAAGAGAAATAACTTTTCCAAAATGTCTCTGACGGCCTCTGGATCCCACAGGCGCTCAGTAAATCCGTCACTGCTACTAAGCTATACCCCATCACCTTAGGAATTGACCCACAATCCTCAAGTAGTTTAGTTGGTTCTACGATATTCACAAATGTATGTCTCTTTTCCCAATATAAAAGTTTTTAAATAGTTGAAAATAATTTCCCCCCAAAGGTTTACCCAGCTGTGGTTCTCACTAACTAAATTACACGGGGGAGGGAAAATCCCATCTCTTTTGCAGTGATTCTTTGACATTTCGGCTCAGCATCTTAATCTGGAAAAGGCTATGCTGTGGTGTTGTAATGTATCAGCCAAAACAAATATTTTACAAAGACAAAAACTAATACAAGCTTCTATATTTTCAAAAATGTTAATCTTTCCAAAATAAGTTAGACAGCAACAGTTCTTAGACTTATATGAAAGCAATAATCATTCTGGTAAAATGTTAATACAATTATTTTTAATATTAAAGACATGAGAAGTAAACACTCTTTATAACATATCACCAGTTCTATCACTTCATAACAAATGAATAACTAATGTCAGAACTTAGCTCTATTTTGTTCTAATTTGTCGAGGAATTTGGACAAACATATGGCTGCGAATTTTTTATGCATGACTTTTATTCTTGTAGATCCAGATTAGATCTATTACATGATACTTTAAAAATATAATGAAGCCACAGACCCTTCCTATTTGTTCAGTACTAAAATAAGCATTTCTCAGAACTCTTGGAATAAGTAATAATAGCAAAGATTATTAGCACTAATATGCACTGAGCACTCACCACGTGTTTTAAGCACTTTACATCCACTTTACAACTAATTTAGTCCTCACAATGATCTTGTCAGGTAAATATTGGGGAACTGCTACTTAGAGAGGTTAATGAACTTGCCCAAGACCATTCTCTATTAAGTACGATTTGAGAGCCTGGCTTTGAAATGGAGATTTTTTTTTTCAGTTAACAGACTTTTAAAATTTTATCCATTATCGACAAAGTTGACAAATTGAAGGACATGTAGAAGTAAAACAGTTCAGACGAGAAGAACAGTTGTATCTGACCCATCATTGTCCTGAGGTATTTCAACTATTAATGAGATTATAATATCTGAAATAAGGGAAATGGTACTCACACTCTACTCTCAGCTCATCAGAGCACACCTGGAGTAGCACACTCGTTGCTGAATGCCGTATATGTAAGCAAAATAAATCTGTTCAGATTAGAGTAGCTAGGATGGTGAGGAGATATGAAATCACGTCAAATGGAAAACAACTGAAGAACTAAGAGGGGTTAGACTAGAGAAAGGAAGACTTAGAGGAAACATGAGCATCCCTCTCAAATGGGCTGTCCAGTATAAGGTGGCACTGTGGTCTGAATGTTTGTGCCCCCCCCAAAATTCACATGTTGAAATCCAATTCCCCAATGTGACAGTATTTGAAGGTGAGGGAGGTGATTAGGTCAGGAGGGTGGAGCCCTCATAAATGGAATTACTGCCCTTATAAGAAAAGATCAGAGAGCTAGTTTGCTCTCTCTACCATGTGAGACTATGAGAAGATAGCTGTCTGCAGGCCAGGAAGCAGACCCTCACCAGACCCCAGATCTGCCGGTCCCTTGATCTTGGACTTCCGGCCTCCAGAACTGTGAGAAATAAACGTTTGTTGTTTATGCCACCCAGTCTACGGTACTTCTGTTACAGCAGCCCAAACAGACGAAGAGAGATGGGTTCAACCTGCTCTTTATGAGCCCAAATGGTAAAATAGAAGAAATATATGGAAACTCTGAGTAGTTAGAGTTCAGTATAAGGAAGCAGTCTGTAATAGTCAAAGCTGACAACGAAGATAGAATCTGCTGCCATAGGAAATGATGTGTTGAATCACTGGAGGTTTCCAAGAACAGACTGCATGAAGACTTTGCAGGAATGTTACCAAAGGGACTCAATTATCTAGTAGTCATCGGTACTAGGTGCCCTTCAATACACCCTCTATCCTGAGATTGTATGACTCCGTGATCTTCTATTTGAAATGTAAGACCAGTAGCCTTGGAAAGAAAAATAGAAAAAGAATATCAAAAGCAAAGAATTCCCTTAGGTTCTCATTTCTTAAGAAATTCTGGGCCGGTCCTGTGGCTTGGTGGTTAAGTGCGCGCGCTGCGATGCTGGTGGCCCGGGTTCGGATCCCGGGCGCGCATCGAGGCACCACTTCTCCGTCCATCCTGAGGCCGAGTCCCACATACAGCAACTAGAAGGATGTGCAGCTATGACATACAACTATCTACTG